AAACCGCGACATACGCCTCCGCGAGCATTCAGATATTCCAGGATTCAGATATTCAGATTTTGAGTATTCGAGCATTCAGATATTCGAGAATTCAGGTATTCGAGTATTCAGATATTCGAGGATTCAGATATTCAGATTTTGAGTATTCGAGCATTCAGATATTCGAGGATTCAGATATTCAGGCATTCAGACATTCAGATTTTAATAAAGCATGACTCAATTGTGGCAAGTGCGCAGTGTTTTCCACGTAGTGGAAGTGTATACCACTCTTAGTGAAGTCTCGCCAAACTTCCGCAATCAAATAATCATCCGTCAGCAAAATTGAGCATCCGGAAGTGAAACACCCACACAGACTATCTTCAGTTATTCTTTTCCTTGCGTGAAACAACCGGAATCAGCAGTAAGTTTATTTTCTTTATGTTCTATCTTCCTTACCGCCATTTTTATTAATTCTACCCTTTTTAAGATCTGTTTTAGTGGGCCATTATTATTATTCTGTGGTATCGATCCACCGAGTCCTCCACACTTTCGAGTCAGCTTACGGGATAAGAGACCCCGACGAATTTGAATATCAGATTCAATATCTCCGAACCATAATTAACATTGGACTAGAAATATTAGGAGTACAATTAAGTTTCTGCCGTTTGACAAAAGATGGCCCCACCAGAAGGTTATGTTGAAGTTGTCAGATGTAAAACATAATATCGTAAGTTTGGACATCTGGTAACAACATAACCTTGAACTATTAGTGACTCCGTATCAGCATCACATAATTTTTTTCGTGCGAAAATATCAAGTTTTGTGCCGAATAAACGTCATTTGCGGGAACTTTTGATTTACTTCTGTAATTTGAAGAAACCTGCAGCTGAGGCGCATCGATTGCTTGTAGAAGCATATGGTGAGACTGCTTTAAGTGAGAGAAGTTGTCGTGAGTGGTTTCAAAAGTTTAAAAGCGGTAAGTTTGACGTGGAAGACAAAGAACGTAGTGGAAGGCCGAAAGTGTACGAAAACACGGAATTGAAAACATTATTGGAGGAAGATTCGTGCCAAATGCAAGAAGAACTTGCACTTACATTAGAAGTGACTCAACAAGCAATTTCACATCGTTTAAAATCATTGGGAATGATTAAAAACAAGGAAATTGGGTTCCATATGAACTGAAGCCAAGAGACGTTGAACGCCGATTTTGCACATGTGAAATGCTACTTGCTAGGCATAAAAGAAATGGTCTTTTGCATTGTATAGTCACTGGTGATGAAAATTGGATTCACTACGATAACCCATAGAAGAGAAAATCACCACCTGGCCATGCTTCAACATCAACAGTCAAACCGAATATTCATGGAAAAAAACTCATGCTGTGTATTTGATGGAATCAGCTTGATGTCGTGTATTATGAGTTGCTCAAACCGAGCGAAACCATTACTGGCTCTCTACCGAGCACAATTAATGAGATTGAGCCGAGTATTCAAGGAAAAACGCGCCCATTATTACTCCAGACACGACAAAATTATTCTCCTACATGACAACGCTCGGCCACATGTTGCAAAACCGGTCAAAATCTATTTGGAAACACTTAATTGGGAAGTCCTACCCCACCCGCCGTATTCACCAGACATTGCCCCTTCCCATTATCACTTGTTCCGGTCGATGGCACATGGCCTGTCATGGCACAAAACCAGCGTTTTACATCATATGAAGATACTAAAAATTGGGTCGATTCGTGGATAGCCTCAAAAGATGAAGAGTTCTTCCGACGTGGTATCCGAATGCTGCCAGAAAGATGGGAAAAAGTAGTGGCTAGTGATGGACAATACTTTGAATAAAACGTAATGTACCGTACTTTCACAATAAATTCCTAATTTTTGATAGAAAACAGCGGAAACTTATTTATTGAGTTTTGTTATTCCTTTCTACATCTACCTGATGTCCTAGACTTTCTTTGGTTTGCGGGGAGAGGATCTTATTTTCCGCGACGAGCAGAACTACTGTCTCTTGCCATCAGTCCGCGCGAGTTGCTATCGACTTCCGAAGATAGCTCTGATTTGATAAGAATATTAACTGGTACTTGGTGCTCAACAAATTTGTTTGGTGAACTCGCGAATTCTTTTTCTATATTTGTATCTTGACTTTTATTTACCTAATTATCGATGATTGAAGAAAAAGTAAGCATTATGACTTTGATTGTTCGTAACTATAAATATCATCGTTCTGTAATTCGCAAAATTAATTCAAATTTTACTCTATTGGATAGTCGATATTTAATAGCCGATTTTTATTTAAATTTATAGTATATGTTACAGATGGGTGAAAATAACATAACAATGTATTTTATTTTCTATTTAAATAAAAAAAACCGTCCAAGCAACTGGCCAAATAGTGGAACGTTTATTTGTACGTCTAGCAAGTATAGTTGCACTTCTATAGATTTCACTTCTTTTCTGAACTTTTTATCGAAATAAATGAAGTGTTTCTGTAACATAATTTATGTAGCAATTATATACTAACAATAAGTGTATCCATTTGGATAAATGTATCATTATGAGAAAAATTATCACAGCAAATTGTTGATTGTTTTTCCTTAAGTTTAGTGTTCTTAAAAATACAAAAGCTTCAGCCGATTACATTTTTTTAAATAGAGAATGAAATATATCTTCATGTTATTTTCATTGACTTGTAACATATCTATAAGTTTAATAGTTAAATAAGAATCGGCTATTAAAATTCAACTATTCAATAAAGTAAAATTTGAATCCATTTTGCGAATTACAGAACGATATTTATTATAGTTACGAACAATTAAAGTCATAATGCCTACTTTTTCTTTAATTATCGATAATTAGATAGGTAAATAAAAATCAAGATCCAAATATAGAGTAGGATTTTGTAGTGGAAGTTTCAATTTTTTATGTAAAAAACTGAATATTCTTCTCAGATATTTTTGTGTGTGACACACTGTTAAAGCGATAAGAAAATTTCTTATTATATACAGAATATTGGTAACGTAATAGAGTGTTTTCTTGTATGTTAACTCTTTGAAGCATACATTTCTCTGTTCAACAGTTTTTCATGAAAATTTGCATATAATGGTTTTTTGATGTCGCTAATTATGAATCTGCTGTCGGAATTTTGAAATTCAAGACGGCGGATCCAATATGGCGGACCAAATTTTAAAAGATTTTCGATTTCCATGAAAATTGAGAGAAAAGATTTTCGATTTCCATGAGAATTGAGAGACCACCACCTTGTACCACTATATACAAGTAACAATGCTTTTCTCTCTGTAGTCGCCGTGCGCTCAGGATAGCACTAGAGACGTCGCTTCCGAACGACGTCTCTTAACGTTATCTAGAGAGAGGAGAATGTCGTGAACGTGGAGCGTCAGGTAGCTCAGTGGTTTAGAGCAGTCGACCGGCAAGCGAAAGACCCGGGTTTGATTCCCGGTCTAGCGACTACCGCGCTCTCGATATTTTTCTCTCTTCGGAATGAAAATAAAATGCAGGTCCCGAACGCACGGCGTCCCGTCGCCATCTAGTACGCCCTCCTTCTTTCATGGTCTCTCTCAATTCCATGAAAATGTATACATTGAAGTTTTTGGGGTCGCTGATTACGGATTCGCTGTTGTCTGTGCACAAAAGGAAGAAGCTTTGTGACCGCTCAAAACAAAAATAAAAAGTATAAAAAATGAAATAATAGAAAACAAAAGATTATGAAAGCATTAAAATGAAAGAAATAAAAAAATAAACGAAAAGGACAATGACAAAAAACAAAACATATAGCAAAAGGACAAAAGATAACAGAAACTGAAAAACAACAACAAACGGAGAAACAGAAACAAAGTAAAGAATGAGAAAAATAAAAATTTTCATAAATAAAAATACACATTTAAAAAAATTTTTTTTGAAATTTCCGGTATTAGTTACTATTATTTATCGGATTTCATAATAATAAGTTGGCAAAACTGCTCCAATTCTGACGGATTCATAATAGCGATGTTAAAAATTTCTATTTGCCGATTTTCATGGAAATAAAAAATTTTTTAAATTTTTCCGACATATTAGATCCGCCAACTTGAATTTCGAAATTCCGACAGCGGATTCATTACATAGGCACACCAAAAAAAAGTTGCTTGTTCGTTAGACTACATCACCATATCTATGTTTTCGGAGTCGCTGAATCCGAATCTGTTGTCCGTTTTATCTCATCACGTCAGGTTTCGTCCCTAACCTCAAAAATACCTCAGAATCGCTAAAATAGCGTTTTTGAAGCTGAACAGTGAACACTGGCGACTAAAATCTGTAGACAATAGACTACTTATGTTTTTGAAGATATTAAATTTGAATTTTGAAGTCAAATTAATCTTAACAGGTTAGAATTCCTTTTCAACTCTAAATATATCACAATTCTCTATTCATTTTTTCCTATTGTATATAATTCTTTTACTCTTAAAAGATCTATGGAGTGGCTTTCTTTTACGTTTGATTCGGATCAATCCCTTAGTTATTTGACGAAACATATGTAATCACATATGAATTATTTTTTGGTATTCTTCAAATCCAGAGTTAGTTAAGAATTAAAATATTAAAATTATATATCAGTTACTTTTTATAATGTTTATATGAATGATTAGCAGTTTAATATTGGAATATCTAAGCGACAAAGATAATTGATTTATAAAAATTACTTAAATTTGTATAATCAATATTTCTAATAGATGCAATCTATATTTCTAATAAAAATATCAATAAGTCATCATCAATATCATAATCATAAATCAATATCATATCAATCAATATCATAAAATCAATAGAAATAAATATGTTTGCTCATGCAAAACATATTTTTTTACAAAATCTGTCTTCTGCATTGCATGAATGGAAATATTAATCATTGATATGAATTTCAATGTTAAATAAGATATATTGATGGGTGTATTGGCAATTATTTTGTATATTTATCATTTAAAATACAAATTATGAAACGATAAAATCTGTTTACAGGCATCATTTAAGATCTCGCAATCTCTTGGAGTGATTGGAGGAAAACCTAATCTGGCGTTATATTTCATAGGATGCGTGGGTTTGTATATAATTTTATAAATATTATATAATTTAGCATTAAATACGAAATGCAATCTGAAATATAGAAATAGTTGGAAGAGTCTATTTTATTTAAGAAATTAGATAAAATTTTAAAACGTCAGCTATCGAAGGCCTGCCATATCTAGCGAAAAATTTAAATAAATATCTCAGCATGATAATGATTCATACGCTGATCTGTTAGTAGAAATTTCTTTACAATATTCTGGAAACACACATCGTCCTTAGAGACATTTATTATTGGGAGTACAAATTAGTTCAGTCCGTTTTTTTGTGTTAAAAGATGTATTTATTTCAAAACAAAATGAATAAACAGATCAATTAAAGTATTTTCCATCGCTGGCTACTACTTTCTCCCATTTCTCAGGCAATTTTCGAATTCCATCTCGAAAAAATGACTCGTCTTTTGAAGCGATCCAAGTTTGGAGCCAATTTTCGATTTCTGCGAAAGAAGTGAACCGGTGACCTGCCAAATCGTGTTGCATCCTTCGGAACAACCAGTAATCAGAAGGAGCAATGTACGGATTTCGTAGATTTTCAGGAATTCGGCGGGTGCGGTAAAACATCCCATTTGAGCGTTTCCAAATATTTTTTTACGACTTTTGCGACATGAGGCCGAGCATTGTCATGAAGAACACCTTTCAACGTCTTTCGGTTTCAGTTCATAGGCACCCAATTTACTTGTTTTTGAATAATTCCCATGTCTCTCAATCGTACAGAAACGGCTTGTTGAGTTACTCCCAATGATTCTGTAAGCTCCTCTTGTGTTTGACTCTGATCTTCTTCGAGTAATGCCTCTAATTCTTTGTCCTTGAATTTTTTTGGCTGTCCAGAGCGAGGCTTGTCTTCGACGTTGAAATCTCCATCCTTGAAACGTCGAAACCATTCCCTACATGATTTATCAGTTGGAGCAGCGTCACCATAAACTTCAACAAGTATTCGATGGGCTTTAGCTGCACTTTTCTTCCAATTAAAGCAGAAAATTAAAACCTCCCGCAAATGCTGCTTGGTTAACACAAAATTCGACATTTTCAATACTGTAAAAAGCAAGGTTTTTGTATGAAATTCAAAGCGATATAAACTGAATATTATTGGCAGATGTCTAACTTCTCTGAAACCGCCAAAATCGGCAGTCACTATGAACTATTCACAACAGCCGGAGCCATCTTTTGAAAACGGACCGAACTAATTTGTACACTCAATACTAAAATTTATGGCTGTAATAAATTTTCGATCATAAACTGTAAGTAGTAAAAATTCAAATTCCTTTGGCTTTTACCTACTGACAGCTGATTAAAAAGTTATGTGCGAAAGCGTTCCTCTTCATCAAATATTTGGATGGTTTCGAAAAGAATCATTTAATGTAGAATAAATTTAATGTAGAATAAATTTTAATAATTAGTCCAGTATTCATTTCGTGTAATAATTTATTTAATCAGTATTGATCGAATTGTAAAGATGTTGGAAAAATTTCGGTTTGTATCGCAGATCTTTTCATGTATTTTTTGCATGCGCAACCAGAGTTGTTTTAGTTCTCTCATGATCAGGATTCCACGAATTCACAATTTTTCCCCACACATTTTATATTAAATTGAAATTCTGGGACTTCGTTAGCTAATTAAGAACTTTAATTTCTGTATGTTGTACAAATCACTCTTACACTATGTGAAAGGTATAGATAACACTGTTATCCTGAATTAGTTGAATTGTCGGCATATCATCTACATAGATTCCACGAATGTTGAGTGACACGTTTTTCAGAATACCTACGTATTCAAAGGCATTCATAGGCGGCGACACTTCGACTAATTCATTTGAACACTGATGCACTGATCTACCTTCACAAATGATACGCCCGCTATTATAATCGCTAGGAACAATACATTTCGGATTTAAATACTGAAAGCCAATGGGCCTTCACACATGAAAGCGTCGATCAACTGCTAAAGAAAATACTTTCTCGTCAGTCTAGACAGTGCGCTCTCAATTTTTCGGTGGACTCATTTGCTCCAAACAAAATGTAACATGTTGTTTACCGTATGCATCAGTTAAAGACATCCTTTGGATAGATCTATAGCAATACATGTTTTATGCAATCGTCGTCGTACTGTCCACTCCGAAAATGATATATCTAATATATGCATGACATTTGATACCGTAGAAAAAAGATTATTTACTTGCCTCATCAATAATAGATTTTCAGGAATTGATAATCGCTGTTTTTATTATTTTTCCGCTTGTCTATGAAACTCTCTTCTTTTTTCTCTTGCCATCATCTAATCTATTCATACATAGTAGTCATGAAACAAGGAATGCAACGATCATCTTAATACGATCATCTTAGTATGTGCATCATACTCTCACATACTTATGATGCAGCTACGTCGATTTCCGTTAATTCTTTCGTTCCGGTGTATAATAAAATGTAATTACTACGGACAGAGCGCATCGTTGATGAATCGACATTAACATATGGAATGCGTACAATACACAATAGTGTCCTAACTTTTGTTAACTTGATGTTTGGAAATTTAAAAATCATTAAGTTAACGAAAGTTAGGGCACTATTGTAACAGCATATTCTTGAGACCAAATTGAATAAAAAAGTTTAGTACCCCCCACCCCACTCTTTCTTCCGACAGATAGTTATCGAGGTGACGTAAGCTAAATATTGAAAAAGTTACTAACAAAGAATATCCGCGAAGTGTCTCTGATTTCGACGAAATTTAGCATATTTGTAAAATAGACAAAAATAAGAGATCCATATTTTTTTTATCGGCAATGGCTCAGGTTTAAAGAATGAAACTGCTTCTCAAAGTTTCATTCCCTTTATATTATCTCGATAATTATTACAAATAGGAGAAAACTTTTTAAACAGGAATTGTACAGTTTTTTATGAAAAATAAAATAGGCCTGACTTAGATAAAAAAATATTTTTAACAATTAACAAAATAACCATGTCAAATTTAATTATTAACTTGTCAAATTCATTACATAGAGGAAAAATTAGCATTTTTCATTCTAAATCCATTTATATATAAGGTGTACATGAGTAAGTGATACAACCTTTTACCACATGATTTAGCATTACCGACAGCACTGCAGTTTAATTAAGTCGTATAGATATTGCATCATCTTCTTATTAGCAAATTTAGATGGTTGACTTTTTAACTGCTTGAACTAAGATCCTAGTACAAAAAGGTGTAGATACTTAAGGGGATCCTGGAGCTGTCTGTTTTATCGATACATTGATTTCAATCTTTTCAAACATTGATCTTTTTATTACCTACACAGATTAAAAAATCCTTTTCTACAATGAAAATATTTATAATAACGAAGTCCGGAAGACAAAGTTTTATGTAAAATTCAATGAAAAATTAAAAAAATTACAGTTTCGTTATCATGTTCTGCGTTAGCTCGTACCTTAAAGGGATCCTGGAGCGGCAACCGAACTCCAACGGGATTGCGCCCTCATTTGAACGGAACTAATAATATCGGTAATACCGATACTTTCAGTTCCGTTATCGACATTTATCGATATTTATATATAGACACATTCCGATGTATATTGCGAAAATATACATTATGAAATCATATAATATACATAATATACAGGGTGCACGATTTATCTGAAGACATTGAAATATCTCGAGAACCATGCATTGGATAAAAAAAAGTGGTTAATGAAAGTTGTTAGCCTCGAAGGGGGACATCCAATGATACCAAACTCGACCTCCCACCCCACCCCCTGGGGGTGGAGGTTGGGGGCAACTTTGAAATCTTAAATAGAAACCCCCATTTTTTATTGCAGATACGGATTCTACGCCACAAAATACGTAAATTTCGTCCGAAACTTTTTTTTTTATTCGTGATAGATGACGCTGTAATCGCAAAAAATTATATTTTCCGCAATTCTCCAGAAATGATCGGCATTGGAAACATTGGATTGAGAAATAAAAAATACCTGTTCAATATTTTTAAAGAACATAATAAATCCCTCCCCATCCTCTCGGGGTAGGGTGGATGATAACGTTCAAATCTCAAATGGGGACCCACATTTTTCATTGCAGAATTAGATTGTACGTGAAATTTTTATTGAAACAATTTTTTTCATTCGTGATAGATAGCGTTGAATTTTTCCGAGAAACTACTTTTAGCGTTACACAGGAACAACGACGAGGACGTAGTAGTTTTATGTTCCCTACGGGTACTTTTTTAATGTGAGTCCCCTTGCCTCTTACAGATCGGGGTGCTTTTTTAATGAGAGTCCTCTTGCCTCTCATTTCAATTAATTAGAATAAGTGTTCGAAATTGAAAGAAAAGTGAGCTCTGACCGCATTGCACTGCCTTTTATAATAAGCCGTAGTTCGCAATACACCCACAGTGGCGCGTCGAGCAGTTCCCTCTTCGATTCGGGTTCCCATTTGAGATTTGAACATTACCACCCACCCTACCCCGAGAGGATGGGGGGGAATAACTTTTATTATGTTCTTTAAAAATATTGAACAGGTATTTTTTATTTCTCAATTCAATGATCATTTCTGGAGAATTGCGGAAAATATAATTTTTTGCGATTACAGCGCCATCTATCACGAATAAAAAAAAAGTTTCGGACAAAATTTACGTATTTTGTGGCGTAGAATCCGTATCTGCAATAAAAAATGGGGGTTTCCATTTAAGATTTCAAAGTTGCCCCCAACCCCCACCCCCAGGGGGTGAGGTGGGTGGTCGAGTTTGGTATCATTGGATGTCCCCCTTCGAGACTAACAACTTTCATTAACCACTTTTTGTATCCAATGCATAGTTCTCGAGATATTTCAATGTCTTCAGATAAATCGTGCACCCTGTATATTATAGATCTTTAATATTCGCAATGTATGTCGAAATAGTCTATACATAGGGTAATTATTTAAAACATGCATAAAAATAGCACTGAGAAATAGGAAGTTTTTGCATTGTATTCTATGTGTTGAAACGTAA